ATAGTGTTAAGGTCTGCCAAGCTCTATGAAGCAGTGTTAAGTTTTGCTACAGTTAAATGGACCACAGTGTTAAAGTCTGCGCAGCTCTATGGAGCATAGTGTTAAGATTTGACACGGCTCTATGTAGTATAGTGTTAAGCTCCACCACAGCTCTATGAAGCACAGTGTTAAGCATTGCCACAGCTCTATAGAACACAGTCATAGGGGAGGAATGATAGAATTTTATTGTTTCTATTTTATTTACATAAACAGAATTTGGGGTAAATAAATATTTTCAGACAAAGGTCTGAAGGAAATAATAAATTAATGGTGAACAGGAACCCAGAACAATGACGAGGAAGGTGAGGAGTGTGAGGTGAGAGTGAGGGGACGTGAGTGAGGGGACAGGAACCATCTCTCATACTCTCTCACTCACACTCAAGTCTTGTAAACTCAGCAACAATCAGGATCTTGGCCAGAGTGATCAAGCGAGAACGTCCTCAGGAGTTTGTTTACTTCCTGTCATCGTCGTCGTCTTCCTCAGAGGACACGAAAGATCCCTGTCTACCGTCGGCCTTGACGCCGTCAGCGGTCACGGGGACGGCGTTGGACTCCAAGACGCGGTAACCGTCTCTGTCAGCGATGTACTTGACGAAGTATTCCACGCCTTCAGGAGACGTCCAGCTGGAACACCAAATATTTCATTAACACAATATTTAGAGGTTGAAAAATGTTTACATTCCCCTCAAGATGATCAAAACCGAACTTTCATAAGGCTAATAAGCTTAATAATTCGCCTATTAAGCAAGACAGCGGTTTAAGCTGAAAGAAAGTTTATATTTGTAATTGTTCAGGTGATGATGGGATAAGAGAAGTAAGACAGGTGAGAAACCCACCTGTAGGAGCCGGTGATGGTGTTGTCCTTGCCTATGACTTGGTCCTGGTGGATGTCCTCCAGGCTGAAGTCTGGGCGGGCGGCGACCAGGGCGGCCACACCCAGGAGGACTACCAACTGACAGAGGGACGAGGCCAGGTAACATGGGAGAGAGGAGGAAGTAAAATAACATTTTCCATATTACCAGAAATTGTGAATGACAAAATGAATATCCTTAAACCAAGAGAACATCATCTGAGGAAAATGTTCCACAGTATGAGTATGTATCAAGAGAATACATTGAAATACAACATAGACCTTTGGAGAGCGTGTTTACCACAAAAATTAAAGCCCTCCAAAATCGAACATTAATTCAAGTTGTAGACTTCCACTACAGAAGAAATATTTGTCCCAATGAGCAAATGAAATAGTAAGTAATTGGGGAAAATTAGGCTTGAAAATATCAACAATTTAAGAATATAGGCCTACAGATAGACAAATTATTTAATTTTTGGAAAATCTGAAATTGGAGAGTCATACGAATTTTGAAAACTTGAATTTTGAGTTAGTTTACTCACGTAAGCGTTCATGATGGATCAGTGGTGGAGGAGTGAGTGATGACCAGGCTCGCTGACCACACTTTATACTGGACCGATCCAGGTCAAGACCCTTGACTGTATCACGTGACCCACTTTGTTTACCCCTCCCCTTCTTCCCCCCCCCTTCATCCCTCCCCTTCATCCCTCCCCTTCATCCATCCCCTTTATCCATCCATCCCGCTTTATCTCTCCTCTCACGTGTTCTCCCTTTTAAAAGAACTTCACCTTCCAGAAAACAATCTCAAACAACACCACCTTCCAGAACACCACCTCACTGATCCCCTCTTAGTGGATCAATACCTCACGAAACACCACTTCTATTTAACATCATCTCGCGGATCACCATTAATGGAATACAACCTCATGCAACAGCGCCTCACCAAACACTTCATAACAGAACACCTTCCCAGAGCGCCTCACACGGTGATTATGCCATTATTGGTGTCCCGTGAGATGATGTTAAACAGAAGTGGTGTTTCGTGAGGTATTGATCCACTAAGAGGGGATCAGTGAGGTGGTGTTCTGGAAGGTGGTGTTGTTTGAGATTGTTTTCTGGAAGGTGAAGTTCTTTTAAAAGGGAGAACACGTGAGAGGAAAGATAAAGGGGGGGGGGGGGGAAGAAGGGGATGGATAGATGAACACCTCCTCACAGAACACCACCTCATGGAAGACCGCCTCACGGAACACCACCTCATGGAACAACGCCCCATGGAACACAAACTCATGGAACCAAATATAGTGTATGACACAGGAGGAAAGTACTCCCACTTGATGCTAAAGAGGTTGTATGCTTCAAACGTATATGATACATGAGGTGAATGCTACAGCATACATCAGGTGTGTACTGCAGCGGGTGTATAACAGACGGGGTCTGTATATTTTACATTTTTCACTTATTTGATAGAATGTAAACACACAGTAACTTTAAGGCATTGCCTCGAGGATTCAAAAACGCAGAAATAAATAGAAACATTAATACACGTCTGTATAATGTTTCAAAAATACAAAAAAAAAAAATTCCGATGTACATAAATACAGAGATATATAGATAGAAAGACACACATATGACAAACGGATTCGTAAATAAATATGGATAGATCTAAAAACACGAAACTGCATAAATTTATAGAGAAATAATTACAAAGATACATAAATAAATGAATACTTAAATACATATATACATAATACTAATATACATAATACATATTTACACAAATATATGTGGAGTAAATAGTGACTTGGCGTTTGTGTAACGGTCTCTAAGAGTCCCGGTATTTTGTGAAGGCCTTCGTGCGTCTCGCCAATCAGGCTTAGGTAATCTCTGACGTCAGGGCCAGAGTAGTGCCACACAAGGTCTGAGTGTCAGGGCCAGAATGGTGCCAGACACAAGGTCTGAGTGCCAGGGGTCAGAATGGTGCCGGACACAAGGCCTGAGTGCCAGGGCTACCGTAAGCCGGCATCTCTGACACTTGTATGAAGGCTCTCTAATAATTATTGTGATTTTCTTATTAACAAGTTGAAGTCTGCACAACATATTCAGATATTGTGTTGTGAGGTGTATAGTGAGGTATTGTGGGGTGTATAGTGATGTATTGTGAGGTGTATAGTGAGGTATTGTGGGGTGTATAGTGAGGTATTGTGGAGTGTATAGTGATATATTCTCGCTTTCTCTTTCTGTCTGTCTGTTTCTTTCTCTTTTTTCCTGTCTGTAAAATGTTGTTAGGCCTGACATTATGGATCACACCTAGCTCGACGAGATGATTCAGTTGTGCATTACCACCCGATAACATCCTGGTGCTCCTGGGAAGGGGGTTAAAGTCTCAGTTGAGGACCAGTTATAGGTACTCCCGAGGCTCCTCCTTACTGTTAGCCTGCTGGTCTGGTGGTGGTCAGAGAGAGCTGGTCTCATACGTTTCAGGCCAGAGTTCTAATTATAAGCCACTATTTACAAGTGCATATAATAATAATATATCTATGGATCCATATGTGCTTACCCTGACTCAATCGGATTTACCCTTGAAGCCAAGACGTTGCTCTTGAAGCCAAGACGTTATATTACCCTTGAAGCCAAGACGTTATGCTTGAGGCCAAGACGTTACTCTTGAAGCCAAGACGTTACCCATGAAGCCAAGACGTTATCCTTGAAGCCAAGACGTTGCTCTTGAAGCCAAGACGTTATGCTTGAGGCCAAGACGTTACCCTTGAAGCCAAGACGTTACCCATGAAGCCAAGACGTTATCCTTGAAGCCAAGACGTTGCTCTTGAAGCCAAGACGTTATCCTTGAAGCCAAGACGTTGCTCTTGAAGCAAAGACGTTACCCTTGAAGCCAAGACGTTACCCTTGAAGCCAAGACGTTACCCTTGAAGCCAAGACGTTACCCATGAAGCCAAGACGTTACCCTTGAAGCCAAGACGTTACCCATGAAGCCAAGACGTTACCCATGAAGCCAAGACGTTACCCATGAAGCCAAGACGTTACCCATGAAGCCAAGACGTGGGCTGCATTCATTCTTATTATTCTCGGAATGTTATTGTTTCAGGCTTTCCTGTACGGAGTGGCCGCCCTCAGGCCGTATACTAAGCTCCTCTAGCCCAGCACATCAGAGCTCAAGCAGCAGAGGTTTACGAGATTCTGTGTACTGAGGTTTAGGCCTCACTTCTCGGTGTATATTTACTGAAAGTTAACTTTTTGATCGTGCCTATAGTCAAGGCTGAAGTACAGTTGGTGGTTGGTCAGTTAACTGGTGTCACGGCCCTAATGACCTTCCAGAGGTTGCTAGGACTAAAGTATATTCACTAGTTAGTCATTAAACTGGTTAGTGTCAAGCCCTTAATAATCCTTCAGAAGTTGAAAGGACTGAAAGGTAGATATTATGGTAGACGTAGTGGTCAATACTTTGGTTGTTGCTCAGATAATCCCAGTGGTAGATATTATGGTTTACAATATGATAAAAACTGTTGTAGATACTTTTGGCTGTTGCTATGATAGACACGGGTAGATATTGTGGTATATAATATGGTAGATGCTATAGCAGACACCGTGGTTGTTGATGTGGTAAAGTGATATATATAATACGATGAATACTGAGGGTAGATACTGTGGTTGATAGCATTGTAGACACTATGGTATAAACTGTGGTATATAATATGGTAGATACTATGTCATACACTGTGGTAGATACTGTGGTAGAAGCAGAAACAGTAGCAGGACGTGGTAGCTGTAGGGTCAATGTCACTGTGATGCGGCTGCAAGGTGTGGTAGCTGTGTGGTCATTGTAACTGTGGCAGCTGCAGGAGGGCGTGATAGTTGTGGGAGTCATTGTACTGTGGCAGCAGCAGCAGCAGCAGGTGGGCGTGGCAGCTTCATGGGTCATTATACGGTGGTAGCGGGTGCAGGGCGTGGTAAGGGATATTCGGGTCTCACTGACAGCGTGTCAGGGACAACGTGACCTTATGCAAGCTGACCAACTAGCATGGCGCGAATGATGACCTAATTCACCGCCTATAAAGTCCTCGTTTCCTGAGGCAGTTGTATCAAAGCTTCCCCTGACGCAGCCACCACCACAGCCACCACAGTCTACCACAGCCATCATGAAGTGTTGCGTGAGTTACCGTCCAAGACAGTCACACCAGCTGGATAATTACCGTCCAAAAACAGTTGCACTTTCCGGACAGGGGACTCGTGAAGGCTTTAAGGGTTGACGTCGCAAATCCTATACAAAAAAGTTATTGACTTTGTTGTCAATCTCTGAAAGATGGTTTAACAAAGATTACTTTCCTTCATTGACGTAAATAAAGCTTTCAGCGTTGGTTAAATAGAAAGAAGTTCAGTGCCCCTATGTCATCTATAGAAGTTCAGTGCCCCTATGTCATCTATAGAAGTTCAGTGCCCCTATGTCATCTATAGAAGTTCAGTGCCCCTATGTCATCTATAGAAGTTCAGTGCCCCTTTGTCATCTATAGAAGTTCAATGCCACTTTGTCATCTATAGAAGTTCAATACCACTTTGTCATCTATATAGGTTCAGTGCCTCTGAACTTATTATATTTACTATCTTACTGAAATTATGTGGTCGTTTGGGTCTCGGAGACAACAGTGTTAGAAACATCGACAATTTTACTTCATTAACAGATTAAATCCACATTCAAATTTTACGAGACATAAAGGAAAACCTTAACAATAAAATTCGAGTGAAAAAGTTTCACTTCTCAGAGTTTTTTTGTGCTGGATCTGGATTTAAGATCCACCACCTTGTACTCACCTAATTGTGTTCGCGGGGGTTGAGCTCTGGCTCTTTGGTCCCGCCTGTGTGATGGTTAGTAGCGCCTTCTACTAACCATCACACATATAAGGCTTCTACAGGCAAAGCCATAACGGGTGACGTATGGGATGGCGGTGATGTGATATTGGTCTTGTTGTGCCTCCGTCAGGTGCTGGTCTTCCTGGGTCTGGTCGCCATGGTCGCCGCCCGCCCAGACTTCGACTTCTCCGCTGAGGACAGCCACCAGGTGCAGGACATCGACGACGACAACACCATCACCGGCTCCTACAGGTGACAATCTTCACTAACAGATCAAGTCAACAATTAAAAAACATTTCTTTTTCGGTGCAAATATTTGTGTGAAGTTCAGCTCGTAAACTGGAAAAGTTTGTCATTGCTGACATTTTGGTTTTTCATTTCAGTTGGACTTCTCCCGAAGGTGTGAAGTACTTCGTCAAGTACATCGCTGATGAAGATGGCTTCCGTGTTCTGGAGTCTAACGCCGTGCCGGCCACGGCGAGCGGCGTCAAGGCCGACGGCAGGCAGGGATCCTTCGTGTCCTCTGAGGAACACGACGACAGGAAATAAACACCATTGTCTGCTGGACATAACACTCGCATCATCACTGTGACTGACTTACGATTTGTATGTTGTTATGTTATTGACTCGCTCCACTTGCTGAGGGCCTCCAGTGTAGCTGAGAGTGTGGAGGAAGGGTATCACCTTCCTCCAAACTTTTCCTAACTACATTCTACAATCAAACTCCTATCTTATTTCTTCAACGATCGTTTAAATTATTATAATTTATGTATTAATCTACTGTAAATTTGTTTAATTATTCATGTATACTTCTGGAAAGCTAAAAAATAAAATAATTTAGTTCCTGTACCTGGTTTACCTTCACTGAAACCGTCAATGTTATACTTGTTTTTCCTGAGATATTTGTGAAGATGCAACATAACTCTGACCGCACTGCCAGTCTGCTGTGGACGAGGGTAAGTGGTGAGTTACTCAGTCGTGCTGGTCCTAGCAGCCTTCCCTCAGCAGTACTGCTCCTAGCAGCCTTCCCTCAGCAGTGCTGGTCCTAGCAGCCTTCCCTCAGCAGTGCTGGTCATAGCAGCCTTCCCTCAGCAGTGCTGGTCCTAGCAGCCTTCCCTCAGCAGTGCTGGTCCTAGCAACCATCCCTCAGCAGTGCTGGTCCTAGCAGCCTTCCCTCAGCAGTGCTGGTCCTAGCAGCCTTCCCTCAGCAGTGCTGGTCCTAGCAGCCTTCCCTCAGCAGTGCTGGTCATAGCAGCCTTCCCTCAGCAGTGCTGGTCATAGCAGCCTTCCCTCAGCAGTGCTGGTCCTAGCAGCCTTCCCTCAGCAGTGCTGGTCCTAGCAGCCTTCCCTCAGCAGTGCTGGTTCTAGCAACCTTCTCTCAGCAGTGCTGGTCCTAGCAACCTTCCCTCAGCAGTGCTGGTCCTAGCAGCCTTCCCTCAGCAGTGCTGGTTCTAGCAACCTTCTCTCAGCAGTGCTGGTCCTAGCAACCTTCCCTCAGCAGTGCTGGTCCTAGCAACCATCCCAGCAGCCGTCACCAGATGCTCAGAGCAATCAACAACAATTACTCTCACCAATAAGAGTGCAAAAACAACCTTCAAGTCAATGACAGCGGCATTTACTACTAAAAATCAACTACCATCAAACCAAACAAGAAGTTTGAAAACGCTTGACCCTTAAGAAGGTCAAAACGTCTTGTCTTTAAAAGGGTCATAACGTCTTGTACCTTAAGAAGGTTAACACGTCTTGACTATTAATGTCAGAACAACTTGTCCCTTGAGGAGATCAAAATATCTTGTCACTTAAGGCTTACAAAATTACGATGCATTTTTTCCTTAAGAAGGTCAAAACGTATTGCCCTTTAAGAAGGTTAAAACGTCTTACCCTTTAGAAGTGCAAATTAAACGTCATGTCCCTTAAGGTCAAAACGTATTGGCCCTTAAATTAAAAACATCTTGTCCCTTAAGAAGATCAAAACGTCTTGTCCCTTTAGAAAATTAAAATGTCTTATCCCTTAATAAGATAAAAAAAAATTGTCCCTCACAAGAGTCTGTATAACATATTGACCTTTCAAATGGGAACTGTTTAATTCCTTCCAATCATCAGTTTCTTTGGCTCTGTTTATGTTTCTTTTTCACTTTTTGCCTCTGTTTCTTGATCTCTGTTTGCTTCTGCTTCTTGCTCTAAGTTTGCCTGTTTTTTTTTCTGAACTTTCTTTTATCTCCGTAGTTTCTGTCTATCCATCTATGCTCATTCCACTATGGAACGTTTATTAATAGATGGTCTCCAGAATCAGGGGTCATGAAGTCGCATGTCCAGACGGGAAGGGAATTAAACCCATCATGGTTCAGTCGGTAGTGCCTGTGTCTGGAGAGTCCAGGGATCGCGGTTCGATCCTAACATGTATAACTTCGGTATTTTCTCGTAGACAAACAAAACAAAACAAAAACTGCTGACCAGACCACACACTAGAAGGTGAAGGGACGCCGACGTTTCGATCCGTCCTGGACCATTCTCAAGTCAAGTGAATCGACTTGAGAATGGTCCAGGACGGACCGAAACGTCGTCGTCCCTTCACCTTCTAGTGTGTGATCTGGTCAACATACTTTAGCCACGTTATTGTGACTCATCGCCTGCAAAACAAAAACTGTGATTTCATTGTGCACTTATGCTTAGCTGAGGCCAACAACACGTCATGGTGCAGCGGGTAGTGGTCAGCACACTCGTTCTGCAAGGTCAGAATTTCTGGGTTCGAGTCCTGGACATGGCGAGGCCATTTAGTCAAAGATGCATCGCTTCTCCGCTATTCACTCGCCAATAAATAGGGGCTGGGATATTAATCGTTTGCAGATTCGTGTTTTGTTAAGAACATGTAAGATAAATTTAGATGAAGTGCAAAACAGCGCTAAGCCTGAGGACAAGAGCTGGAATAACACCTAGCAGAGAGTAGAAAATAGATGAGCATATACTTAAGACAGAATTTGACTCATAAAGGTGATAAGTCCTGGCGGTAAGTTAGATTCCCCGACCTTAGTGAGGAGTCAGATATTAGGGCTCAAGTGAGGAGGGGATGTCATGTGCTATGACTTTAGAGAGCAGTCAGAAGTTAGGGCTTAAGTCAGAGGACAGGAGCTCTAAGGTGAGCGCAAGAGGCACTTGTGGCTCTGAGTAACAGGCTTAAGCTTCTCCAGTGCCACAGGTCACTCACCAACCGTGTTAAACCCAGGTCTCCCAATTACTTACCGAGTGAAGAAGGGAGTGAACAGTCAGAGATCGGTTCCCAGTCAATCCGTCACATGTCCAGGGTATGAGGATCCCTGTCTGGCGAGGGGTGGGGGCGTGTGCGCCACCACTACGACACCCAGACTGTCTGTTTAGCGCCGACATATTTCTGTGCATCTGTTGACGGTTGCTGGGAAGGCTGCTAGGACCAGCACTGCTGAGGGAAGGCTGCTAGGACCAGCACTGCTGAGGGAAGGCTGCTAGGAGCAGCACTGCTGAGGGAAGGCTGCTAGGACCAGCACGGCTGAGTAACTCACCACTTACCCTCGTCCACAGCAGACTGACAGTGAGGTCAGAGTTATGTTGCATCTTCACAAATATCTCAGGAAAAACAAGTATAACATTGACGGTTTCAGTGAAGGTAAACCAGGTACAGGCAATAAAATACTTTATTTTTTTAACTTTCCAGGAGAATACATAAATAATTAAACAAATTTACAATAGATAAATATTTAAAATAATAGTTATTTAAACGATCGTTGAAGAAATAAGAAAGGAGCTTGGTTGTAGAATGTGGTTAAGAAAAGTTTAGAGGAAGGTGAGACCCTTCCTCCACACCATCAGCTACACTGGAGGCCCTCAGCAAGTGGAGCGAGTCAATAACATAACAACATACAAATCGTAAGTCAGTCACAGTGATGATGCGAGTGTTATGTCCAGCAGACAATGGTGTTTATTTCCTGTCGTCGTGTTCCTCAGAGGACACGAAGGATCCCTGCCTGCCGTCGGCCTTGACGCCGCTCGCCGTGGCCGGCACGGCGTTAGACTCCAGAACACGGAAGCCATCTTCATCAGCGATGTACTTGACGAAGTACTTCACACCTTCGGGAGAAGTCCAACTGAAATGAAAAAACAAAATGTCAATATTGACAAACTTTTCCGGTTTACGAGCTGAAATTCGCACAAATATTTGCACCGAAAAAGAAACGTCTTTTAATTGTCGACTTGATCTGTTAGTGAAGATTGTCACCTGTAGGAGCCGGTGATGGTGTTGTCGTCGTCGATGTCCTGCACCTGGTGGCTGTCCTCAGCGGAGAAGTCGAAGTCTGGGCGGGCGGCGACCATGGCGACCAGACCCAGGAAGACCAGCACCTGACGGAGGCACAACAAGACCAATATCACATCACCGCCATCCCACAAGCCAAAGATGGAAGAGCAAGGCAACAGGCAGTTATTATAACTTTGCCTGTATCCGTGACCGATATGGTTCGTGGTGAAGTTAATGAGTGCTTAGCTGGTTATAAAACAGTCTACAGTTTGTTTTTGACCTAACCCTATATTGCCTTGCTCCACTGGTACTTCAACCCTTGGCTACGTTTAAAAATCTGCATTGTGAATACGGGGGAAGTATCAGTCCATGAATAATACAAACGATACAGCTAATCTATAACATATTTGGAGAACAAAAGACCATATATCGATCCAGAAACGATATATATCCAAAAACGATAAATGTCCTGAAACGATAGATATTCAGGATCGATGGATATACAGAAGAGATAGCATCCAGACGGGACAGATATCATGAAGCGACATAATCCAGAAGCGACAGATATCCAGAAACGAAAGATGTCCAGAACCGATAGATATCCAGAAACACTGAATATTTAGAAACGTTAGTTTCCAGACGCGATCAGTAGCTGTGAACATTCTAGGGGGAATCAGACGCATGACAGTTATGGAGGAAAACCTTCCCTTTTTTAATGTTTACTAAAATATAGGCTGAAAATTCTTCAAAACTTTCACAGTAACAATTTAATATCAGCCTTAAATGGTTGAATAAAAATGATATGGTTGCCAAGAATTTGGTGGGGGAGCTTTTATATATATATATATATATATATATATATATATATATATATATATATATATATATATATATATATATATATATATATATATATATATATATATATATATATATATATATATATATGTCGTACCTAGTAGCCAGAACGCACTTCTCAGCCTACTATTCAAGGCCCGATTTGCCTAATAAGCCAAGTTTTCATGAAATAATTGTTTTTCGACAACCTAACCTACCTAACCTAACCTAACCTAACTTTTTCGGCTACCTAACCTAACCTAACCTATAAAGATAGGTTAGGTTAGGTTAGGTAGGGTTGGTTAGGTTTGGTCATATATCTACGTTAATTTTAACTCCAATAAAACAAAATTGACCTCATACATAATGAAATGGTAGCTTTATCATTTCATAAGAAAAAAATTAGAGAAAATATATTAATTCAGGAAAACTTGGCTTATTAGGCAAATTAGGCATTGCATAGTTGGCTGAGAAGTACGTTCTGGCTACTAGGTACGACACATATATATATATATATATATATATATATATATATATATATATATATATATATATATATATATATATATATATATATATATATATATATCATATCATATATATGGCTCCAGTGAGGATCTTTCATATATGACTCTAGTGGAGATCTCCCTAAGTAATACTAACACCTATTTGGCAACTGAGCCTCGGCTTCATTAGGTTAGGTGGGTTGACGAGGTTCGTCGCTTCCGGTTAGTCAGTACCCATC